AAACCATACAAGAGTGAAGCCCATCCCTCTACGGTTACTGGCGTACACTCTTCTCGCTGTATTAAAAGGAAACCGTTGTTCATCAGAAAGCACGGAATAATATGCCACTGGCTGACTTTCTAAGCTTTATAAAAAGCTAACCTTGTAACGTACATTATTTTGTTATATTTTTGTTGTTATTTTAAAAGAAAAGGGGGGAAACAGACTGAATCAAGCAGGGATATCCGATTTACCAGATGGAGGGAGTTTGTTTATGTTTGGACTAGTCCACTTATGGGATAACCGGGATACAAGATAGTAAGAATAATTAAAAAATCCATTGCTTTAGTGTTGCCAGTCCATACACAATGTGTTATTTAAAAAATCGGATAGAATTTACAGTTAATAAAATTCCAAAGCTTAAGAATCAGGTTAAGGAACTAACTTTATTTATCTCAATTGAAGGTATCACACCCATTCAATAGAACAATCCGAGAAAAAGGTGCGAAGATAATTTACTTGTCATTTGGTGCGAAATGATTGTGTCACTCCTTTCGTAGAAGACAAATGGACTGATCAAGTAGTTTAGAAACGCAGAAAAAATGTTACACGGACATGCTTGTATAAAAAATCACAAGGAATAAACAGAGGCATGCAAAAAAAAAAAAAAAAATGAAAGAAGTAAACACATCATTATTTTGCATCAGTAATATGGTTCTTTCTTATGCAAACTGTATTTGTTAAAATGCAGGTAACAAATTCTGATGTAAATCAGCTTGCATATAATCAAGCTCACTAAGTATGATCTCTCAGTTTCGAACCATGGAAAAAATGATCCTTATACTGCCTGACGTTCGTGGTGTCAGGCGAAAATGCACTGCGTTTAAGACACTATCCTTTGCTGCAGTCATCTTCAGGTAGTGTAGATTCAAGTTTGTTCAAATCATGGCCCCTTGGGAAAGGACCAATGTTCTGAAGAAAAACATATTAAAGGTGACTCAGATGAACGTTGTTGCCTCTTGTTTTCCCTCGCCTTCAATCTTGTGTCGTTCGTAAACGTTAAATATTTTCAACTTTTCAAAAATCACTGAACAAATTTCAATTTATTATAAAGCATTTGAAAAGAGGATCATAAATTGTGAATTTTATGCTTCTCCCCTTGGTGTCTTAGGGTTGGGACAAAACCATCAAAATTATTGCAATCTTTTTAAGTCCTCTTCTTGACTCTTGCGTATAAGGCAGTCAAGGTCTTAGCAATTTAAAAAAAAAGTATTAAACTCCTCTTCTTGACTCTTGCATATAAGGCAGTCGAGCTCTTAGCAATTCAAAACAAAAGGCCCAGGGGCCACATCGCTCACCTGAGCACTATGGCTAGGAAAAGGCAGAAATCAGTTCAGTCTTGAAAGGTTGAAAAGTTTAAATAAAAAAGTGGTTCGGGGGGGGGGGGGGGGTCATGAATTGAACAAATTTGAATCTACATTATCTGAGGATGCTTCCATATAAATATGACCAATTATGGCTTTGCTGTTCTTGAGAAGAAGATTCTTCAAAGATTTTTCCTTCGCAGGTATGTTAAGGCAGTACCCAGATCATATTTCGGCGAATTTAGACTTTTTTCGTAGAATGTAACATTGATAAATCGGAAACACCATAGATAAAACATTCACTATTATTATCCATTGTATAGACGTCATTGAGTCTTAGGCTAAAAGAAGCACTCCACTACGACGTCATCACGTGACGTCTTTAATAGAAAAATTGCCTTAATGAAAAAGTGAAAAGTTCAACACTACCCCGGAGATAATTCATTTCTTTTAGTGAAAATAATTATGTAAAAACATCACTGGGCCATGAAAAGTGCTGCTAGAATCCTACTCTCCTGACACAGAAAAAAATATTCCAAAATTTCGCATGAAACCTTACCAAAATTTTAACATTTTATACATACGATCAAGGAATTTTTATCAATTCATGTTAACCACACGATTCTAGCAGCACTTTCCAAGTACTATAGAATACAAGCTTTCGATACAAACAAAAATTATATTTCAAAGTATGCGGCGTAGTGTTGAACTTTTGCATCTTTGTTGTTATAGAACGATAGAGGAACCGCTGATCGGGATTTCAAAGCACTGACTATGTTCATTATAAGAAAACATGATAAGAATATATCAGCGTACCTGATTCTTAATCTTTAATTCCTCATGAATCACACATAACATTCATGGTATATGCTTTAAAACTCCCATTTCATATGTTTGTTTACATGAATTCTCATTTCACTCGGCAAATATTTGATCAATAGTTATGACGTCATGGGTTTGGTATTTAACCCCCGTGCTAAATAATTAGCTATTTATACCACCCAAAAACGACAAGATTTAGTTTATGTTATGTTTTGAATGATTCCATTCTTTTCTTGGACCTGAAATTAAACTTTAAAGATAGATATTAAGAAATCATTATTTCTGTAGTTCACGTCATACAAGCTTACTATGACGTCATATTGTGAAGGCAAGTAGGACATCTCTGGGTGTAGCCTTAACATACCCGCGTTTATATTCCTATGTAAAACTCTGATCGCCCATTGTGGCCCCACCCGACCCCCGGAGGTCATGATTTGAACAAACTTGAATCTTCACTACCTGAGGATGCTTCCATGTAAATATGACCAATCATGTCTTTGCTGTTCTTGAGAAGAAGATTTTTAAAGATTTTTCCTATAAATTCCTATGTAAAACTTTGATCGCCCATTGTGGCCCCACCCGACCCCCGGAGGTCATGATTTGAACAAACTTGAATCTTCACTACCTGAGGATGCTTCCATGTAAATATGACCAATCATGTCTTTGCTGTTCTTGAGAAGAAGATTTTTAAAGATTTTTCCTATAAATTCCTATGTAAAACTTTGATCGCCCATTGTGGCCCCACCCGACCCCCGGGTGTCATGATTTGAACAAACTTGAATCTACACTATCTGAGGATGCTACCATATAAATATGACCAATCATGTCTTTGCTGTTCTTGAGAAGAAGATTTTTCAAAGATTTTTCCTTTATATTCCTGTGTAAAACTTTGATCGCCCATTGTGGCCCCACCCGACCCCCGGAGGTCATGATTTGAACAAACTTGAATCTACACTACCTGAGGATGCTTCCATGTAAATATGACCAATCATGGCTTTGCTGTTCTTGAGAAGAAGATTTTTAAAGATTTTTCCTATATATTCCTATGTAAAACTTTGATCGCCCATTGTGGCCCCATCCGACCCCCGGGGGTCATGATTTGAACAAACTTGAATCTACACTATCTGTGGATGCTACCATATAAATATGACCAATCATGGCTTTGCTGTTCTTGAGAAGAAGATTTTTCAAAGATTTTTCCTTTATATTCCTGTGTAAAACTTTGATCGCCCATTGTGGACCCACCCGACCCCCGGGGGTCATGATTTGAACAAACTTGAATCTACACTACCTGAGGATGCTTCCGTGTAAATATGTTACATTAAAGTTTTAGAATTCATAGAAGTTAAAACTGAATTCTCTAGTCAGAGAAGGTAACTAAATTTTCCCGAAGTTTTGTAAACATTGTCTTTGGAGTTAAATTTTTTTAAGTTTTCTGATTTTATTGTCTACCGGTACTTTTGATTTTTAACTTTTGTAAGTTTAAAAACTGTTGTAAGCGCTTTGCATGACTGATTTCACGTAACTGATCGATCTTTATTTGTTGTTTTAGTAATCATACCTTCTCTTAGCGGGTTTCGCTACAGGTTATTTCAAAAGTTATTTACTTATCTGACATTGTTTATTCGATAATTACTTGTACCTGTTTATTATAATTTTTTTGTGTAACAACTTTTATAAAATTGACTTTCTATCTGTTGACTCTACAATAAACATCGTTCAACTTTAATCGGAATTGTTTCTCTTTGCCAATTTAGCATTACAGTAGAAAAAGCGAGTAGCTATCCTACCAGGCTAATTTCCCCAAACTTCACAGACGAAAAAAGTCGGTGTGAAAAATATGACCAATCATGGCTTTGCTGTTCTTGAGTAGAAGATTTTTAAAGATTTTTCCTATATATTCCTATGTAAAACTTTGATCGCCCATTGTGGCCCCACCCGACCCCCGAGGGTCATGATTTGAACAAACTTGAATCTACACTATCTGAGGATGCTACCATATAAATATGACCAATCATGGCTTTGCTGTTCTTGAGAAAAGATTTTTAAAGATTTTTCCTATATATTACTATGTAAAACTTTGATCGCCCATTGTGGCCCCATCCGACCCCCAGGGGTCATGATTTGAACAAACTTGAATCTACACTACCTGAGGATGCTTCCATGTAAATATGACCAATCATGTCTTTGCTGTTCTTGAGAAGAAGATTTTTAAAGACTTTTCCTATATATTCCTATGTAAAACTTTGATCGCCCATTGTGGCCCCACCCGACCCCCAGGGGTCATGATTTGAACAAACTTGAATCTACACTACCTGAGGATGCTTCCACATAAGTTTCAAATTTTCAAGCACAGTGGTTCTTGAGAAGAAGATTTTTAAAGATAAAATGATGAAAAGATGTAATTTAAAGATAAAAAGCAACAACAACAAAATTAAATCTTCAATATATTTTATTGGTTTTAAACCTGCTTAATGTAGAAGCATGTTTGTGGATGTAGGCGAAAACCTGTCCACATCTTTAAAGAGAATAGCTTTAGCCTCGAGTGTAAAAATAGGCCTAAATCTCACTACAATAATTGGATGCGCTAATCTCAACAAATCTCTTGAATATTACTTTTTGTTTTCAATGCATCTTCCCTTTCATCAACAGATATTTCACTTTCTTACTCTAGTTACAATAATAACGCCTTCTTCATGTGAAAAGTTTAGAGCTGAATCATATATCTGGAATTCCCTGTTCCTAATTATAGAAATGGGGCTTTCCCTTTAGAATATAAAATACATTACCATTACAGTCACGTATTTATACAACACAATATCATTGTGAGACAACATGCATCTCGTATTGGGAAAGTTGATGTCAATTATTTTCCTTCTTATGCCAGGTACTGTAATCCTCGTATAGTCATGTTTTAATACAATAATTATGCTATTTATAAGCTAGAGTAATTTTTTGTTACTTTTGTAATTAGTTTAGCGTATAGTTAGAAATGTAAATATTTGACCGTTAAGGTTTTCAACGAGGTTAAAAAAGTAATTAATCATTTTTTATTTCTTCATTTTGCGGATGGGTCTTGAATTGTGCATTTATATAATGTCTGTATGTTGTTTTTATCAAAGGAATTTGTTATGATTTCTGCTTAAGATAAAAAATAGAAAAATTTGGAGAATTTACTTTCGGTTTTATATTACATCGTAGTACTTGGGTAAATCCTTGTCACTGACAATGATTTGCTGTGTGTATTTGTAACAATTACATCATGTTTTAAAACCATAACATATGCATGTAAGTTTTTTATTCGGGTTAGGAATCATACTTGATATATTGAAAAATGTATATTTGGATTGGGTTTTTTTATAAACGGATACTGTCATGTAAAGAGATTTTTTAACTCTAGGCCCACACTGCAATCAATACTCTTAAGCTTTTTCAATTGATAACATTTATACAAGAAGCAAGGAATACATTTTTTTTCTTCTTTTTTACGTAATTATATTAAAACACAGCCCATCTTAAAACAAACTGGGAAGAAAAGTCGACAGTTTATAATATGTAGGCCACAACAAGACAGTCAGAGTAAATGCCCTTGAGCTTTGCATATTTGGTTTCTCTATTTAACCATATTTTCGAAAAAAAAAAAACAAGTATAAATATACATTCAGTGCGATTTTATGCGAAATATCAGATTTTGTAAATTTTAATATACATTTTTTTTTTAATTCACAGTGGTTTTGTCACAAGGTATCAACGGCAACGAAGTTACTGAAGAATTCTGCCACGGTGAAACAAAAGACATTAATACAACTGTCCTTAAATGTGATGTTAAAGATATTCGAGTAGCTGTAGAAAGTGATTCTAATCTGATTGTACAGTGCGATTTCTCAAGTGGAGTAGGCTGTCATTTTGGGACTTATGATAAAACCCATCACTTGCTTAAGTTCAGCTTCATTTTTTATTATGAAAAACATGCGAGAAAACGGTTGTGGGTTAATTCCACATGTAGGGATGGAAGAGCTAGCAAAAGACTTATAAATCTTATACCTTGTGGTAAGTAAATTCTCTCTCTCTCTCTCTCTTTCATGAATTTAAAAAAATCTACTTTTATTATTATTATTATTTGTTTGTTTGTTTTAAAGTTTCAGATTTTACAGTTAAGGCAACTCACAACAATACACACGCTTCTTTGACCTGCAAACATACTTTCTTTAGTTTGTCAAGAGGAATTTATATAAAAAACAAGAACAGCGGAGACTTCATCGAATTCTGTAAATGGAACGAAAAAATAGCAGCAACACAATGTCAAAGCAAAGAACAGGGTAGGTCAGCGCTTTTCTTAGGGGATAGTTACATTTTAATGAGATCTTAAATCTTTTTGAAATATAAGTACTCATGAAATGTTACAATAAAATAAGAAAGGAATTATTGTAATGCACTTAAGAGTTCTTTCTCGAGTTTAATTATGAAATGTTTCTTTCATTTTAAGTTTTAAACAAATCAGAATTTATTAGATCGAACTTAACTTAAAAATGAATATATGTGACAATAAAACAGTCTTGTTCTTTGACACCCTTTAGGACACATCCACAAGAATGGAATAGACGGCTTCATTACAGATTATCCGCAAGAATATCAGTGCATAATGGACGGACAGACTATTGACTTCGAACCGGAAAAGGTCTCCTCAACCCCAGGTATGACTGTTATTTATATAGAAGATGAAATTCTAAAAGCTTTCGTACTTAATTATACCATTAAGTCTCTTAAAAAATCTTAAAAATACAAATTACTCTTATTTTTAATCTAGGGAATCATGCGACGAGTGCTACAGGCAGTGGACAATGGAGTGTTTCCAGTAATAAATTTATAGGTAATGCATAAGAATCACATAGATTGTCCTATTATCTTCATATATTCTTTTTATATTTTGTTCACATATAAGGCTATTCCAAGTTTTTTGTTTTCTATGTTTAGCGTCCAACTTAAAATCAAACACCTATCTTTCTATCCGGGAAAAACACACAAACCGAAAGGAAAAAAAACACCACATTATAAGAAAAAGAATTTCTCATCATCTTAGAAATTTCCTCGCATTGTTATAAAGATAAACTAAAAATTAAAAATTTCGATACACAAATATAAAAATAAGATACATGTACCAATCTCAAAAGAGTATATTGTTTTGCAAATATATGTATTTTTGTTCATTTTTAGTGAATGTTTTTTTTATTTATATACACTTCAGAAAGCAATCCGTCCGCGGACGCTTACAATAGGGAACACTTGGAATGGCCTAACATTTTTTTCCCACTAAACTGATATGTTCTTTCTTTTCTTTACTAGGGAATAATAAAACTGATACAATCAATGGATGTACAAGTCATTCTCTTTCAGCAAGAGTCCTAATGTTGTCACTGATAATTGCTTACAATGCGCAATATTTCATAGAAAGAGGATTCGTTTTTCTACCTAGTTGAAAAGTAACATTATTGCATAGAAAATAGTGAAGGAACCCCCAACCTTCTGGTGACCACGGAAGTAACAATACATTGCTATGGATCGCCATTATCTTCTACATGGAGTGTGCCAGCATGAGCTACAATCTCAAGAGACGACTATGTGATACGAATATTAATGTTTTATACTGTGGTGGAAATTAGGATGTTATTTTATAAGTTCACTGTGTGACCTGAACATTTTTCTGTTAATCAAAAGACAATTCTCTTCTTCAGCGATTTGAACCTTTTTTTACACTACGTCTCTTTTTCATAATTTACAGAATGTTAGAAGTTTACTACATCATGAAATGCATAGGCGTCGGAAGCAAATTGAAAGTAGCTAATTGAAGGGGGGGGGGGGTAAACCAACAAAAAAGGTAAGCCCCAATTTTCAATGCCTATATTATGTCTATCTATGCAAAAAAAAAGTGGGGGGGGGAGGCTAGGCCACCTTCCCCAACCCTCCGGTTCCGACGTCTATGTAATGTATAAGTTCACTTTCGAGTCAGATAATATTACATGTAAGACCATTAAATTTCCGATAAAAAAATGAATTCGGCACAAAATAATTTTCTCTCTCACATGTTTTGAAGCCGAACGTCATCCATGTTTGAATACCCCCCCCCCCCCTTCATAAAGTGGCTGTAGCTCAGACTTCACCATAATTAGATAAAGAATGTAATTAAAAAAAATTCAATTACTTTCTAAATTCATGAAAGATTTGTTTTAACTGAGACCATGTTTGCCAAGATATGAATTTACAGGGAATGTGACTTAAATCTTCATATATTTAAAAAGATTTTTCCTTTGCATTCATGAGACATGGAGCAACTTACAAGGAAGTTATATACATTTTTAGTTTTAGGGCACACACTCTCTTAAACTAAAATATTAAGAATATGAGTATTATCTTCAGAGGGAGTTGTATATTTTAATATTGCTTCATAACCTACAGAGCAGGAAGGTCTTTCTTTTAGTCTCCATAGGTACAAAGATGAAGTTACTTTTTAATTAATAATCATTGAATGTGTGACCAACGTCGTGTTTCGTATAAGACTTCAGGTAATGTTTCCAAAAGCACTGTCACTAGGTGGATTAAACGTGTAATACAAAGCACATGAGTAATTTTAAGGTATATTCCGTTCTTGCGGCATCCTCTTCTGCAGTTATGAAAATTGGTGTTTCATTAACGAACATTTTGAAAACTGGAGACTTGTCATTGTCAAAGAATTTCAGAAAATTTTAGACATATTCAAGACAATTTTTCAAGTTATTCTATGAATAGTGTATTAAACTGTGATTGATGTAATGATTTTTCGAAATAAACTCTTTGACTAAATCTATTGTCAGTTCTTTTACATGCTACATGTGTATTTATACTCTGAATAGAAATAGACTAATGTCTCATGCCAGACTGTAGGAAAAGAATGGGCCCCTAATCCAAACATACCCTGAATGTGAAAGATGAGGGTCAAAAAAAAATTAATTTTGATGAATGAGCTTTTTATGTTTTAAAATTTAAATCTCTCTCTCTCTCTCTCTCTCTCTATTTGTGTGTATATTGATTTACTATTAAAAAAAAACACACACACACATCAACGACGGTATCAGATAGCCTGTTTTGTTTTTTCCTTCTTTGAATTGAGGATAAAGTTAGTTAGCTAGGACGTATAAAAAATTATCATAACAGCTCATTACTGAGCACTCTGTCGATTTAGCACGTGAAGGCATGAATACAACGAATTCCGGCTTAGAATAAGTTTGGGTTTTCCATATACTAATTTTAGATATGTAACTAAAAATACAAACATTAATCAGTTCTTCGAGCATATAATTGTCTTGTCGTTCTGCTAAAAAAACAAACATTGTGTTTACGTACCACTTTAATACATTATCTCCATATTTTTTTCAATTAGTTATTACATGCAATACTAGATTTAAAAGAAATATTTAGAAGTTCAAATATTAACAATTCAATCTTGCGGTTTCAGTTCGTACAAGATTTTAAGCTGCTGGTTTTAAATTATAAAAATGTCTTAAATCAAGAATAGTTTTAACCCTCTTCAGATGAAGCTTTGAGCCATTATTTCTTCCTCTCAAGCTCACTGATTACAGAGCAGAAAAAGTTAAAGTGTAATTCTCTATAACATTGACATGATGTTCCTGACAAAGTCAACTTCATTGTAAAACATAGACGCAAATAGATAATTAAATTTAATTGATGCATCTATTGACAGGTTTCGTGCCTATAACAGTTTACTATTGAAAAATCTTCCAAAGTAGATGAAATATTATCTATCACTTTAAGGTGCGGTTGGATACACATTTCATCATAGATATTTAACTAATCAATGCATACAACGACCTGTCTTTAAATGAATGTCGTCGCAATTTTTAGAACAAAAATTAAGATAAAATTCATTTGTATTATGAGCTTTCTTTTATCAAAACGCCTGTGTTCCCTAGCAAATCGTCTGCATTGTGTACAAGCACATTAGTTTCAAACATTTTTAAGGGAATTAGCATAATTTTACAAGTGCCGACCTTGACTGTACATATTGTTAGACAATATGTGCTGGTGCTTGACTGTACATTTTTTCATCCATTATGCAGGAGTAAAATAAGGCTCGTCTCGGTATATATTGTCGCCGGCGACAATATGTACCGATAGACGACACTATATGCAGTGAGGTAAGGTACATATTGTCGCCGACGACAGTATGTACCGTCACAGGGACTCTTACTAAAATGATTTCTGTATAAATGAAATTTTTTTTTTTAATATGAAAATTAAATCGAAACCAGCATGACTACTTAAGATAAATAACAAAATACAGACCAAAATCCATAAACCAGCAAATCTGACTTTAATATAAACGGCAGCCAGAACTTAATATCAACAAACAGAACATCAAGCATGAGACTTATAAACAACATGAACAATAAGCAAATACAGACCAAAATACATAAACCAGCAAATCTGACTTTAATATAAACAGCAGGAAGAACTATTGATCAGCAAACAGAACATTAAGCATGAGACTTATAAACAACATGAACAATGAACAATAGATTAATTTTTGCAACATTTTCTACATTCGTCCATGTACCTAAGAATCATAGACTAAAATTCGAAGTAACAAACCAAAATGCAAGCCACTACAGTGCCCCCCCCCCTTTTTTTTTTAAGTTTTATTAATTCTTTATTATTTCTTTTATTTTATTTTTAAATTTATTTTTTTATTTATTCCTTTATATTTTGTGAAAACTTTCTATCTTATTGTTATACAACGTTCTTGAGTTTTAAGGCTTGTCCAGTTTAATATAAATTCTTTGATCTGCATCATTTTTTAAAAATTTGAATTTGATAGATACAAAAACGCACTGTTTTACAAGCACACAAACTATTAGTGTAAAAGCATTGCATAAAGAAAGATGCAGTTCAGTTTAAAAGAAAAAAAATAAATAACCAAAGAATATTTTTATAATAATTTTGTCACTAAGAAGTTTATAGTTGTATGCTTAATATTATCTTTGATACATGTATAAAAAAAAACATTTAAACTATAAAACTCAACATAAACACGTGGTGTATCTTATATTTAACAATTGAAAGCAGTTATTGGAGTTTAGGTATAAAAAAATATTGTGACAAAAAAAACTTATTCCAAACTAAGACGATTTTTCTCTTGCTTTAGTGTTCAGAGTAAATTGCATGGAATATTAAAGAAATATATGTGGCGAAACAATCAAATATTTGCGTATCAGATAATAAGATTATTTCTTTTTCTACGTACCAAAATGAATTCAGAGTTGTCTCTTCTAGAAATTAAATTTCGTAACGTAATCCAAGAATCTTTTTTTGCAATAAAGGTGTAAAAACATTTGGAGGAGAGAAATACTTCATACTATTGAATTATATCAAAAAACAAAAGTTTATCATATTTCAAGAATTATAACTTAAATTGTTGCTGAAAATTATCTCCCGTAAAAATTCCGTAACAAATATTCCCCTGAATTTTAACTTAATATACGTTTCGTACCCGATATCAAAAATTCACGTTTTAATGTTTTATGAAATATATGGAGATAACGAACAGTATTCAAGCTCCAAAGTGAATTTTTAATAATACAAACCATGGATCAGAGCAAACACGAACCTCAAAACATCAGAGGTGGGATCAGGTGTCATGCAGGAGTAAGCATCCCTTGCAGACCGGTCACACCCGCCGTGTGCTCCTTGTCATGATCGGGGAATAACAGAAAAATCCATCGACAATTCAGTGTGTGAATAATGGCCTAACAATTAGTATGAAAAACGTCAGTCAGCATTTGAGTTAATATGTTGTATTTGCTGACAAGGTCATTGTATCGACCATAGAACTTACTAAATAACGACTTTAAACGTGACTGCTGATATTCTTCTTTCATCAACTTGTATGTCGTTTTAGAAATTGTTCATACGTAGAGCATGCTCTTGCGTATAGAATCAGCTGAGAGATATAAACCCTTATGCAGGTGATGAAGGTTTTTTTGCTGCATAAGTAAGGGAAGTTGACGATTGAAAAGTTAAAGTCATCACGTTTATCATAAACCTTGGTTGTTAGACTACCATTTACGTCTTTTTCTAGAAAAATATCCAAATATAAAACAGATGTGTTACACTCTGTGGTATCTTTTATTTCAAGCTCACTGGGAAATATCGTATCGACATAAGAGTGGAAATAACTATTGTTAATTGGCAATACGTCGTCGATATATCTAAATGTCGAGTAGAAGGCCACAGTAAGTGATCTTTTCATGTATAAAATTTTGAACAAATTCTGCTTCATATGAATACAAAAATAAGTCTGCTAATAACGGGGCGCAATTGATACCCATGGGAATTCCAACAAAATGTTGGAAGAACTGGTCTCCAAAAACCACATAGATATCGTCACGCATCTTTTTAATATCAACTTCAGAGTACTAGTGTACCATCAGAATATCTTTTAACAAAATGATTTTGCAAATGACCAATGACAAGGTAAGTTAATTTACGAGTTCCATTTTTATTGAAAAAGCAGCTGTCAATGATATCAAAAAGCCTGGACTTTAATTTATCGTTGGGAGCGGTTATATGTAAAGTTGAAACGTTGTAAGTTTTTATGTTGTTGATTTTGGTAAAATTTTATGATTTCAAATTTTCCAAAAGTTCCTTGGAATTTTTAAGTATTCACATCTGAATTACACAATTTCTCGAGTACATTGTTGCACAGTACTCCTGAGGTTCCTCCTTCACTATTTTAGTGAGGAGTAAAGAAAGAGGTTTGGTAGAACATTTACTGGAACCCGCTATATATCTTTGTTCGTAAGGAGTTTTATGAAGTTTTGGAATCCAATATATATAT